TCAGTGGGCGTGTATAAAATTACCTAAATGAATGCAGTTGTGCTGAGTCTTTAGTACCTAATTATGAATTACAATGGGAAAAATTCAGCCGATGGAAAAACACTTTTAAAAATTACAAGTTTGCGACCTAAAAGGAGGCTTATTCAAATATCCTTGATTTATTCATAAAGTTTATGACAAGGAAGGCTTTTACCATTTCAAATTCTGCAAAGTCAAACAATTACTTAGCCATTGTATTTCAGTGGCTTGATGCAGAAAAATAATTTTTAAGTTAAGTAGATTGACATTTATATCCACGAATTATATATGAAAATATAATACGATGGTTTAAAATATTTTAAGTTGAGCATTTTCGTATCGTCGCAGAACCGAACATTTCTTCGATTGATACGACTTATTTTATTCGATTTCTCGTGCCGTATGTAACGTACATCATTTTTAAATTGATAAATATTTTCCTTTTTGTATGATTTAGTCTTTCTTCCTTTTTTTTTTTTTTTTTTTTTTTTTTTTTTTTTTTTTGCGTACGTCGGAAGAGTAAAAAGCTATTGAAAAAATTTTTAGTTGACAAAATTTTAATATAATAATTCTGTATAGACAGAAGAGTTTATTCGAGCTAAAACAAACTTTTTCAATTAATCGAAGAGTAGTAATTTGTTAAAACATGTTTACCTTATACAAATCGCAATACAAAAACCTTTCTATTTCTCGCGGTAAAATGGTTTTGAGCAGTTCCAATTGGAATGATAAATTAAAAAATATTACAATCAAACAATTATAGTATTGCATGTAAATATGAGTAATAACAGTTCTCTCCCTTAAATGTCACATTATATAATTGAGTAAGAAGCTAATTATTATGAAATAAAACCCAGTAAAAACGTATTTTCCGAATAAAAAAAGAAAGTGTCCTTTGTCTTCGCATCGATTGCTAAAGGTCTTGACGCATCAAACCCTTGCGCACGAAATTCAAGAAAGATAGCGAGAGGTTGGGGGAGAGAGAGAGAGAGAGAGTGAGAGAGGGTGTGAGAGAGGGTGTGAGGGAGGGAGAGAGAGCGGGAGAGAGGTGGTTAGTTTTAAACGTCAGGTTGGGCGAAAGGATGACGCGGAGAGATCGGGGCTGATAAAGCGCAAAAAAGGAAATAATAAACAAGTTCATTCATCCCGTCCACCGGCTGCACATGAAATTACAGCACCGCCGGAGAATTGTTGTAAAACGATAATGCAGGCTCCATTTAAAAGTCGGGTAAAAAAGACGCCCACGCATATTCATAGGTGGGCCGTGACGTGCGCGGGAGCGAGTGGCTTGGGAGAAAAGTGCCGGCGATGGAAGAAACGGGAGCTCATACCCACGCGCGCGCGCGGATTAAAAAGCAACAAGTGACCTTAAAAAGTGCGAGCGCGACAGTCGATCGAGAACTTTGCACGGGGGACGATAAGCGAGGGTGGACACGCGTTTCTGGGCTAGGGGGTGGGGATGGGGATGGAGAAAAGGGAGAGGCCGTGCGTGACTGTATCTTGACTGATCTGACGTCAGGATGACACGACTTGAGGCGAGCAACTCTACTTGATTATTACGGCTGAAGAGCGCAGCACGATCTTGGCCCCTTTCTTGCTCTTTTATCTCGTTTCATCCCTGATGACGTGCACTCTGCATTTTTTTTTAACTCGCATATGTCTTCGTATTTACGTGTCTCACCAAGTGATGCGTTAATTTAAATGCACGAGCGTCTTTGTCGCGCAATGTCATTCGCGATTTGACTAATCGATTATGTTTCAGAGCAGGTGTTTTTCAACTACGCATAATTTCGATGACGCTCTCTCTCTCTCTCTCTCTCTCTCTCTCTCTCTCTCTCTCTCTCTCTTTCTCTCTCTACTGTCCTACATACATTCTTTGCCACTTCTCTGCTCAACAATTTTCACGAGGGCGGTAATTTCGAAGGCTAGGCACTTTATATATATATTATATTAGTTCTCAATAAGGTGTACTTTCACACGCTTTCACAATTCTTACCTATGACTAAATCCTATTATATTTAACTATAAAAGTACTATGCCATTAATATCGTATGGCTAGTGTAATGAAAATCTTTTATAAATATGTCGATAGGCATCCTTACGTATTATATCGGCATTTGGTAAATAAAAATTCATTAATTCTTAGTTACTTCTGCAGTAAAAGCTCGAATAAATTCTTCGATCGGTCTTTATAATCTCCAAAGCTTTGGGAATTTATAATTCATTCGTGACTATTCAATAGTTTCGAAAAATAATAATTTTTTCACATATCTGGCAGGCTTAACTGGCCTTATTCGCGAGTCTGCGCTTAGAAATCAAAGCAGCCAGCGTCTAAGATGTTATCGTTTCTTATCCGCAAATCCAACTGCTTTCTACGGCATAAGTTCAAATTACCTTATTGAAACGGTCCATACACATTTAAGATTTTTAAAGATGTCCGTTGCGGTCCTGGCTCGCATCACGTGTTCAGGAAAAGGACCTTGACGTAAAATTGTGCAGAGTGAGAGAGGAAGGAGGTGTCGTTGGAACGTCATAGGTGAACGTTAAGAGCATATAGTAGACATATGTGTGGAGGAAAGTCGAAGCTTTTGAAAGTGGAGCGCTCGCAGGATCCGTGAGCCAGACAAGCAAGAGGCGACTGACTCGACGCGCCACTTCTCCGAAAGGGGTAAAAAGGGGTGCGCGGAGGAGAATGCATCCCCGTCTCGAAGTTAGTTCGAGCATCGTCCGCCTAAGCAGTGAGCTCGCCACTGTCCGGCAACCCTTTCACTTAAGGGGTGTGGATTCTCCTCAACTAGCGCAACCCTACTTTCGAACCCTTAGAAGCGTACCACCACCACCGCCGTCTCGTTGCTGATTTTTCTTCGAGGTCACCAACCCGCGCTGCCCCCTTCACCACCACAAGTGCGATCGCCCTTCGCTCGGACGTTCGCCCCCGTCACGGCACTCCTTATTCCGCGCACGAGCAAAACGATCAACATCTCTATCCCTACTTCTTCTCCCTCGTCTCTCCTTCGCTCCACTCCGCTCCTTATTCTTTTTCTCGACCTTCACCCGCACTTTTTCCTTTGCCTCTGCGAACTTGACTACCACCGACGCTTTTTTCTCTTTTTCGTTTCCCCGACACCGATTACCCTCCCCCCACCTCCACACACACACTTACCCCCTTAAACCCATCCCACAATAATCCAATCCCCCATATCCCTCACACCCAATCGCCACCCCCTACATCGACCTCTTCCATCCATCCCCACCCTCCCAAGGACACGGCGATGGGCAACGATGAAGGATTAAGTGCTTTGCCTCTCACTCGAGGCTCTGAACGAAAGTTAGTGATAGTGGTAGGGATGGAGAAATTAAGGGTAGGGGGCTCGGATTTTCGTGTAAATGGTGGGAGAATAACGTAGATAAAAACACAATTTTTTCATAGATATGCTATTTACGCACGTGGATATGACCATTGGACCATCGCCACGATACATTGACCTTCGAGTCATTGAGTAGGGGCTGTGTAGTCGTACGGCATACGGTACATTCCAATCCTATGACGAATAATTGAATTTTATGAAATTTACTCCTTTCGCAGCTCATTCCATCTTCGTCAACTGATCCGACATCGAGAATCACTTTTACGCGGATGTCAAAATAATCTATCGATAATCACGTTATTTGACCATTGCGATTTATAAGGGATTTATAAGCCTCCGAGCGATTATGCGAGCTTGGAGAGAGTGAGAGTGGAAGGAAAAGAAAAACCTACGATGCAGGAAGGGATTTTTCCTTCATTCAAGTACGCTGAAAGCCGACCGAAAGAGCGCGAGCTGACCTTGAATATATCGCGAGAAGTGGGCAGGGACGGCCTCGGAAAACCCGCTAAAATCAACGTCTCCAAAGCAGCGCGCAAAAAGAGGACAAAAAGGAGGAAAATGGGGCTGACGAGGGCGGGGGACGCGGGAAGCTCCGCGTTTCTTACGGCCACGTCTTCCCCGCCAGCGGCCCCACCACCGCGTATTTCCACCCACTACCTTCGCCAGCCCCCGGAAGGTTTGTCGGCATATTGCTCCTTACCCTCGGACGCACACGAGTGTCGGGCGCCGTGTACGTACATTAGTCGCCCCTTTGACCGATCTCGCATCCGTCCTTGTCCAGTCGCACCTACGTTTATCCGGGGGGCGTCGGGCTCGCGTAAGTCGGACCTCGGCTCCCTACCGCCGCCTTCCTTCTTATCCCCCGCAATCGCAGCTCCACGGCTTTTCCCCCGCTTTCCCGTCCTCCACCCCCCACCTACTCATTCGTTTCTTAGGGCCGTGCGTCTCTCTCGCGCCCAGCAGCGTCCGCAAGCTCTGGCTCTCGCTCCGCTGAGCTTGCGGGCGGCGGCCGCGCCAAGGCGCCACCGTACGGGCGGCGCGCCAACGGGAGCCAGCGTCGGCCGCCTCCGTGTGGGCGCGTGGCCGTCGGCTTACAGCATCCGCAATCTTCCCGCTCTCCGGCGCATACTACCGCTCACCGCCTACGCGGTCGGCGCCTCCGTACCGCCGCCAGTTGCGCGCTCGCAAGCCCGCAAGTTCGCGCGACGCTCTCTCCGTGCGAGCCTGAGACGCGGCAGAGCGAGATACGACATAGACAGAGAGAGAGAGAGGGAGAGAGAAAGAAATAGGGATAAATAGAGAAACGGGTGAAGGAGAGAAAGAGAGAAAGAGAGAGAAAGAGTGAGTGAGTGAATGAGTGAGTGAGTGAGTGTGTGAAAGAGAGAGAAAGAGTGAGTGAGTGAGTGAGTGAGTGAGTGAATAAAAGGAAGTGGGAGAGTAAAGGAGAGAGAAAAGGAGAGAGAGAGAGAGAGAGAGAGAGACGAAGAAGAAGAAGAAGAAGAAGAAGAAGAAGAAGAGGAGGAAGTGGAGGAAGTGGACGAGGAAGAGGCGGAGGAGGAGGAGGAGGAGGAGGAGGTGGTGGAGGTGGAGGAGAGACGGGAGAGTGAAAGAGAGAGAGAGTGGCAGAGTCACTGAGGGACGCGCTTTGTACGAGTCGCTGTTGCATTTCGCGGCCGGGAGTTGGCTCGCCAAGGGCCGAGTTGATGTGCGCGCGGCTCTCCGATGAGCGGAGAGACGGAGCTGAGGCGCTGACCGACGGCCCAGGCTCATCGTCGTCCTCCGGCATCGAGGCACAGTGAGTTTGTCATAATCGGGGGGCAGATCACGGACGAGGAGTGCGGCCGGCTCGACGAATAAGGACGATTGCTCGACACTGTGGTTCGTCGATCTTTCTGATCGGCGCGAGAGATGTCACGTCGTTGGAGAGAGGTGAGTTAACGCGCGCGCCAGTCTATTTCTTTTTTTTTTTGTCTCTATATCTCTATGCAATCTATCCAATATACAATGAGAGAGAGAGAGAGAGAGAGAGAGAGAGAAAGAGAGTGAGTGAGTGAGTGAGTGAGTGAGTGAGTGAGAGAGAGTTGGGGGAGGGGGTAGGTTTGTCTGAAAGAGAGAGGACGAAAAAGTGCGTGTATGATACTTATTTGTCTGTTCTTATACCTGTCCAGCTTTCTGTCCATCAGTCGATCAACTTCTGTCTGCCTGTCTTCTCATTTGTAAGCGCGCGCGTGTGCATTTACGTGCGTGTGCGAGCATGTTTGTCCGACTGTATGACTGCATGCATGCGTGCTTGCCTATATGTGCGAGTGTATGTGTACGGGATAGAGAGAGAGAGAGAGAGAGAGAGAGAGAGAGAGAGAGAGAGAGAGAGATAGAGAGAGAGAGAGCAAGAATTAAGAACAAAAAAGAATCGAATTTTTCTTCGTACCCGCTTATCGTTTCTCTTTTCTTTTCTCTACCCTCGCTTTCACATTACATTTCCCGTTATTTTTATGCCCATAGTAAGACTTTGCATACGTCTATAGTTATCCCTTTGAGCTTTAGATAACGAATGGTGCTCTGTCGAAATAACGGCGTTAACAAAGTGCTAGAAAACGGTGGATATTCGGTGATTGTGCTTGTGTTGATAACATTGCAAGTGAAGTTTCGACGAGCAGAGGACGAACTGCTGATGAGATGCGACAAGCTCTCGTAAAGTGGACGTTTGAGAAGAAATCAGACGGAAATTATTGTGCAACCTGGAAGATTTTTGACCGCCGTTCGCAAGTTTCAACATATCTGGAAATTGGCGATTAATTGTGAAGCGATTAAATTTCGTTCGTCGTGTCATCGTCCGAGTATTTTGTGCGTTCGAGGACTATCAGTGAAAGTGCCGAATCAACTTAATCATTTAATACAGCCAATGTGAAAAATAATTATTAACGTTCGTATTTGATAAATTATCCATGCTGCCAAGTAATTAAAGTATTTAACATTTATTTGAGCGCGACAGCATATTGTATTCCTCTTTATAATTTCTGTCACGATATCGTAATCTATTCACTTACTTAAATCTCAAATTTAATATAACTAAGATGATAATTAACAATGCTTTCGCTAAATTGGGCATAGATTATTGGACTTTTTCTTCTGCATCACTGTAACTTAGAATAATCTAATAAAATGATAAAGGGAGATTTTGGTAAATAATTATTATTATGAAATTAATTATGAAACTTAGATGAACATTTCGATACTGATGGCTCATTCTCAATGTCGATTTGCCTTAACTATTTAGTCGAATATTTATACGAATAAGACTTCTTTTGTTTTTTATTTATTTTTTTTTTCTATCAATGAGGCAGGCCGTTTAATATTTATTTATTCATTTATTTTTTATTTTTAAATAATGGCAATCAAGCTGCTTGTGAAGCAATTTACGAACTGGGACACATTAAATATCGTTACGTAAGCGAGCCGTGCAATTCTTATCGTAGTAAGCACCATTAGATATTCTTCAAAAACATAACACTGTATTATCGTCCTTCAATTAAGACCATACGTCATAAACACATAGATGAAAAAAATAATTGCATCTGTGTATGTAGATGAGCTACGAAACGGGACATTTACGATATAACGATACATAACGATAAGGCGGGACGATCGAGCGAGACGATAAGATTCGAAAGAATCCGTGTCTGCGCGTGGCTGCCGGGGCAGACGGTCTCGTTCTCCTTGGAAGTAGATAAACTCCGGCATTGTCAGACGGGAAGAAAGCGAGGGAGAGCGAATCTTCGCCTCGGGAGGCAGGGGCTACCGCTGATCCGACGGCTAAATCATTTATCAGCCAACTCTCGTTATACTTTCAAACTCAATTTAACGCTCCTCTCGCTCTTCCCGGCCACCTCCTTCAATTCGTTAATTACCCTTTTTATCAACGGCACTTAAACGAAAAGTGGAGCGTGTTACAATTTTAAACTTTTTGACTTTTTGTTAACGGCGCGAGCGTCAATGATGCGCTCTCCATCCTTGCACGCCCAAATATAAGAACCGCGATAATTTATTGTGTTAATGTGACGCTCGTGACAATTGTTCGGCCACTCGAAAACTTAATCAAAATGGAGAAATAAGGTTTATCCGGATCAATATTAAGAATCCTGAATAATAAGAAGGTCCTGCCAATCGCTCGTGTTCAAGTCATATACAATGGACCACCGCACATTGCTTGGAAATCAGATTTTTTCGCAAACTGCCATCCGACGCGAAATTCGTTTTACTCCGTAGGCAACTATCGGCGAACAAACACAAAAACGACGCGACAACGTGACAGGACGAAACAAAAGTCCCAGCCCAATAACAACGAGATACGGTATAAGAAACTTATAAAGCGGCACCTCACAAGATCACCTCACAACAACCGAACAACTTACGGGACGGGCACGAACCAACTTGCCACCCAATTCTCCCCGTACATCTGGCGTGCGGAAGTCCTGTTACCTAACTAACTCGAGCATCGGAGGTCTGTCCTCGGGAGCGGACGCGGACCCAGGACCGGTCGAACGAGTCGAACCGGTCGTTCGCGCACAATGGGCGAGTATAGAGAGACGGAAGAGTCGCTGGAGCGGACGTGGGGCCGCGTCCGCAGAACGCAAATGTTCCGCGTGGAATGTGCCGGCGATCGATGGTCGCGTGCCCGTAAACAGCTAATAATCAAAGGCAAAGCGCCATAAACAATCAGTCCGTACAATTTTCGACGCACGCCCGGTCCCTCTCCACCCCGTGATTATCGTGTAAGGGGGTGGTGGTCGGTGGGGGTCGGGGGGAGGGGGGGGGGGTGGGTTTGCTGGGGGGGGGGGGAGCGCGCTGCAAAAGTATAAATGAGTATATCGAAGCGTGCCGATGTCCCCCGTGCCGATGGGTGGGGATGTGATTTGCCCGGGACGAGTGGAGGGGGATGGGGGGTGCGAACAACCGCCTGCGTTGTTCATGAACGTGTTGAAATTAATTCGCGAAAAAATCTGTAATGTTGGCTGATGTGGGAGGCAATTGCCAGCCACGGACACGCGTGGATAATTAGGCTGATGCGCGTGCTGGAGGTTCGGTGATGAAATTCGCGTGTGACCTCGGAACCTGGCTTTTCTCTTGCATTTCTCTCTCTCTCTCTCTCTCTCTCTCTCTCTCTCTCTCTTTATTCTTTTACCTTGACTTTTTTTACTTCATTCTTTTATTACTTTTTTTTTTTTTGTTCCTTTCATTTCTTTTTAGTCTTCTCTTATTTTATTTATTTCGTTGGGTTTTTCTTTTTTTCAAGAGTGTTGATAAGATATCATTTGAATGGGAGTAACGCGTCGTTAGATCGTAGTTTTCAATTTTAATATATTCTTATTTTATGCGTACACGAAATTAAAGCTTTTTGATGATCGGGTGTGGTTTCTGTCGATTATATATGTTATTTGGCAAATTGAAACGTTTAAAGTTCAAGCACCGTTATAAGTTGGCCGCTCCATATTTTCGTATTACATACACGTCCTTGTCTAGTCGGCATGTTTTTACAAACTTCTCAATGTAATGGAATACGTTATAAATATTGTCCAATTAATCCCTACTTATTTCAGACTCTTATTAAGAGTGCACATTGTGTCTGAATTTAGCGATAATACGAAAAGTGTGTTATAATCAGTGAAAATAAGTTTTTCGTCGCAACATTCCCTTACACGTAATGTTAAAATTCAAATTTTCCGTAGGACCTTCTCATCTTATCGTGCAATAATAATGCGAATTAAAATACACGCTCACATACATGCATAAACATGTGTATATTCAATTAATCTGCTGGTCAGTGTATTTTTGTATTTTTATTGCAATAATTATCATGATAAAATTATTATATTATAAATATATGAAATCAGATGCATTCTAGTGATTAGTTAGGTTAATGTTCAATTAAGCGGGAATTTAAAATAAAAAATGCATTAAAAAAGATAAAATAAAAAAAAAAACCAATATTAATGTATTATATTATGAAAATTAGGTTTTTTTAGTCCCCCTTACACACTAACGAATGCTTTAATAATTTAGTTTAATATTCCTCTTGATAGTGGAAATTTCACGAAGAATTTATAAATATGAAATTCATCGAGTTAAAAAGTTTTTCCTACAAAAATTCAAGCCTCGCTCCATCAATGCCGTATTAGTGCAAATATCTTGACAATTCTGTGAATTCAAAAGACGCAGCAAAGAAGTAAAAATGTATACAATATTGTTTTCAAAATTCTCGAGGAGCGCTAATCAATCGATCAGCCATGAAAATTCTGTTAAAAAAAATCTTTGAAGAGTTTCGCGTAATCACGGAGATTCGTCCGAAAATCGTAAAAAAGCTTGAATTGCGGGAGTCCGAGTGAGCGAAAGCCAAGTGAATCCGCGCACGAGAATCCCTGAAGACATCATCCGATTGCTGTAACAATAAGAAAAGTCCGAAGGATGTGTGATGGTGATCGTCTTGAAGAGACGTGGTTGAGGGTCACCGGGTTGTCCAGATGTTCGACGGCGTCGCGGTCGCAGTATCATGCGTGGGGATGGGAGTGGACACGGACACGAATGCCACGAATTTGTCACATGCGTAGCGAGATGGAGAGGTCGAATGTGCGAGAGAAAAAAACGGGACAAGCGAATGTCACGTGTGGCGAAATATGTAAAAACAGATATATAGAAAAGTCGATGGGATGGCGGAAAAAAAGAACGTGATAGAGATATCGAGGGAAGTGGCAAGAAATTTGGAGCACAGGACAAAAGAGCCGCTCGCTTCTCTCTCGCACGTATACGCGCGCGTAGATGGAGACACTCACTTGTTCCCCTGTCAAATGGACTTGCGTGTATGGAAAATAGGAGTGAGGGGCGCGTTTAGGCAGATATCAAAGTCACCGATATGTGAAATGTGCGGAGATGGG